TTATAAGTATCAATACATTTCACGAGTATCGTCATCTTTCGATCCGGACTGTGTCAGAAAGAGTGACTGACATTTGGCTGCGACTTTACCCTGCCAAATCAGACATATCTTTCATCATTTTCAAAGAAATTGTACAAAATCTTCAAATTTGTGAAGTTAGCAAGTTTCACTTGATACGTTGTTACCAGACATGCCCAAATCATCAGTTGCTGCCGTGATATTCATACCGACCACTGCATCCCCACGGCTAGGCGACCTGTATGTTAAATTTGTATTGATAGGGCAGCTGGTTATGCTATAAATCATGTCACAGTGTGCACTGATTGCAACGATTAGATGATAACAAAAATATTTTCAGAAATAGGAGATCTTTCCCATTCCGGATCGAACAATCTACCAAAGATGCTTATAATCATGATACCTAGTAAATTTTCACCAAAAAAATTAAAAACCAGCAATGTAAAAGATTCATTTCGCACCCTCCATCACGGGACGTGATCGTCGTCAGACTTGGCAACCCTGCGAGTGACAGATAGATATCCCCGCCAGTCAAAAAGACAAACAATAAACATTACTAGTTTTTATGATTTTTGGACTTAAAACACATTATTTGTGAAACATTTTTCATAATGTTTTGTCTATGTCCATAATAATTGCATTATGCATCAGGGAGATGTAGGGATCGACACGTCTTACACATATTATCTGTGTTTTAGGATGGAGAGCACATAATGTTTTTATTGCTTTGAAGAAATTCAGTAACCCATAAATTAATAAATGATTACTATTATGATGTAAAGGAAGATGTGGAATTGGATGGAATGTATTTTATATTCTATTTTCTTGAAAAATACAGACAAGTCCACACTATTTAACAGGTATGTAATGATAACTTTCAGTATATTCGCTGAAGGTGATAACGGATTGTTAAATGTAACCTATAACATATATCAAAATACATGAAAGTTGTCCTGTTTTTTTTCTGTACAAAAGCATCATATTGGAATCAGAAAGTGTTCTTGTTTATAAGGCATTCGAATTTTCACGATTTTATTCAATATTTCAATTGAAATCACTAATATTCAGAGACCTTTGACAGCTTCTGTCAAATTGCATTTCGATAAGGTATTTTCCCATTGTTCCATAATATTAATGTTGGTGAAATTGAGCCTAAATGGTCCTTTTCTAATTTTTTTTCTATTTTGTATTTACAATTATTTACATTTAAATATTTTATTTTTGTATGTTTTATGAACAGTTTTTTTTCTTTTTCACTTATATTGTCCTATAAATGGATGCTTCTGATAAGCAATAAAGAATTATTATTATTATTATTATTATTATTAATTAATGCCAAACAACATTTATAGATATTTGATAGCTAATTACTAAAAAAGATCCAATTTTCTTTGTTTATTTCGATAGCAAGCACTGGTATTTTGATTGACTATCTTTTTATTACACTCACTTTCCAATTTAACGTTGCAATAATAAACAATACCGATTTGCATAAAAATTAGCATACATTATTAGTAGCGGATACTTTAATCCACATAGGCATTAGCGATTGTTATAAGTTATTTAATAATTATACACTTGCTGTACGAACGCGAACAATGCATTATTCATTGATGGGTGTACACTACTGCCAGAAAGTATGAAACAACACTCCATGATTCCAACAGAGACGGATGGTATCTCCATTTACTTAATTACTTTATTAATTATTAATACCTGTATAAGAAACCGTCTTTGTTACGGGCTAAAATTATTATCTAAGCTCAAGGCTGAAGCTTTTGTAGATAAATCGAAGATGATGAAAGGAACGTTATCCAAAGTACACCTATAATCAAATAGATGCATCTACAATCTACAATTTCTACATGTATCAAGAGTGTTGATAATCGAGGCATTTAAATATAATAACCACGTAGCAAATAAGTAGTTTGGAAGCTATTACACAGGCTCTTACAAGTGCCTTTTTACCGCTACCAAAAATTACTATCGATACTATATGGTTTAACATTTTGTAACTGTACCTTTTTCTTTAGATTGCTAGAACGAATGATTATAGGTTATAGTTTTATAACTCAAATTTGTCATAATGGAACAAACCAACAGCTTTCCTTTGCGGTATCCGTAGTTAAATTGTGAAGGCTAGGACTATAAGACAAATAATTTTGCTCAAAGGTAAGAGTTTTTCTAAGCTTAAACGCACTTTTTTGTGGATATTCTCTAAACCTTTTGGATAATCGTGTAAGTGTCAACATACCTCCTGGCTCTTTATGTAAATCGTATCAGGTACAATAGATAAATGAAAGGCTTAATTTATTTATTGCTACCTTAGCACCTACTCATAGTTATGCTGCAGCTTATATAATAGTTTCTTGGATTGTTACATAACTTACCAGTACTAACCTGATATCAAAACTTTATTCCTTAGCGCATATATTTCGCAACATTCGAACTGTTTTAGACAATACAGAAATTCTAATTGTATATTATGGCAAAATTTCAACTACAGTATATTCAGATAAGAGATAGACCGGACATAAACAAGACCACGTGATCATCGAACGCTGTAACATTCGGCAGGGACGTATTAAGAGTCACGCAGTACATATTTTAGATAGTAGATGCTGCTTTGCGTAACTTTGCAGTAAATTAGCACAATTCGATGTGTATACGATTGGTGATGGATATAGGATCATGTGGGGGTGGGGTAAGAAATATATAATGATGTAAATATACATAAGGGTTTCAAAATTTTCGCTTCGATTTCCAGCTTCGGATGCCGCCTGATGTTTGGTGAAATACAGTCGAATATAATCTCAAAATGGCGTTTAAATTAGCCTAAATTAAAAATAATCGTATATCTCTTAAAATCGCTTTTAGAATATTGATTAGTATATTTTTTTATTTCTAGGTAAATATGTAACCAAATAAAACGTTCAAAACGTAAAAAAATGTGTATGGTTGAACATTGTCAGAAAGTAGATTCTTGAATAGGTTTTGCCAAATGTGTTCAAAACGTCAATAATTAATTAAAAAATACAGTAGCTTATAATTACTTATAACTTACCGAATTTGATGAACGACATCTTTTATTGGAAAGATGAGCTTGATGAGCTTTCATCATCGCTACTGCCTGAAGCACCAACGTCAATAATGAATGGCTCGACTTGTTCCTCTAAAATATTGTCCAGTTCCCACATTCTTTTCAACTTTGTCTTTCACGTGCTTAATACAGTTTTCCCATTTTGCGCTGTTATTAATTCTAGTGCTTCTTTGAAAAGTCCTTTGAGGTCACAAAATTTAAAAGTTGTATTGTGCTTAGCTATATAATTTTTAACCTCTGCCCATATGAGCTCAATGGGATTGAGCTCGCAATGGTATGGAGGTAAACGGAGCACAGTTTTATTTTGACTTGCTGCCATTTCGTCAATGGCGTATTTTTGATATTCCACCTTGTGATCCTTGACAATTCTTAATAATTGTACTTTCAGCATTGCTTCTTCAAAGTTGATATTTTTCGAGCGGAGCCAATTTTGAACATCAACTTTCCTTGAAGCCGTTGTTGGGACCATCTCCATTCTTCGAGAATGATAAGGCGCATTATCCAACACAATTACTGGGTTTTCCTCTAAGTTCGGTAAAATTTTTGAAAACCACGATTCGCCATTCATTTCCTCGTGGTAATCTCCAGTTTTCTTAGACTCAAAGCACCACAGACCGTCAACAACAAATCCATCCTCACTGCCAATATGGCAGATAATGAGCCTTTTCCCTTTACCTGGAAATCGAAGTACTAACTGGTGTAGATTTATTTCAATAAGCGAACCTTTTCAAATATTTTCATCACATTCAGCGAAAAAACATTGAGACATGAGTATCAGGTTGCTATAATTGGGATTATTTAGTTATATTGAAAGAAAGAATATTGAACGTCGTATGATTACTCAGCGCTTCACAATTTAATTTAAAGTTATAAACCTTTAAAAAATGAATGATCAGGAACCTGAAATACGCGCAAATATTAATATTAACAAATTATAACTTTATAAAGCTTAAAGTATGAATTAAAATGATTAGAAATATTAGGAACGGTACACAATATAAAACTTAGTAACTTTTTTTAAGTTTATAATATTCGACATATTTTAAGATTATATTAAAAAATTATTGAAATATCGAAAACACATAAAAACATGGCTTAAAAAAGCTCTAACAAATGAAAATGACAATAAAACATCCACGCATTTTATCGAAAGTTATAAAAGTTTTGTTACTTGTAATATGTTTTATCTGCCCCCTGGAATTAATGTTTAGAACCTTGTTCCAAAGGTTTGAAAACGATTGTTGTCTATTACTCGTATTTACCTGCTGGATTTTTTTAATCCGGTGGACAGTCCATCTAGAAAGGCCCTCCTGGATGAAGTTACAGAATCATCAACCCATACTTTACTTGTAGTGTGTCCTGC